CTTCTGACAACATGACCAAAGTAGGTGAGAGAAGTCTGGCCATTCTTGCTTCCAAGGAGCGTTCTGGCTGCATTTCTGCCAGGACAGATTTGTTCATTCTTCTGGCAGGCCATGGTACTTGCAGCATTCTTCGCCAGCACCACAACTCAAAACCATCAACTATTCTTTGGTCTTCTTTATTCACTGTCCAGCTTTCACATGCACATGAGGCTACTGAAAATACCATGGTTTGCGTTAGGCATATCTTAGTGTTCAAAGAGGCATCTTTGCCCTTCAGTGCTTTAAAGAGGTCTTTTGCAGCAGATTTGCCCAGTGCAATACATCTTCTGATTTCTTGACTGCTGTTTCCACTGGTATTGATCGCGGAACCAAGTAATATGAAATCTTTGACTAGTAGAATCAAAGCTCAATCCCCCATTCTGTCTGTCACCTTGGCTGGAGGCAGATGGGCAGGCATGATAACTCGGTTCCTTGAAAGCTGAGCTGAACTGAGGCCCAATCCTCCATCCTGTCCATTATTCTTCCCATCTTGGTTAAGACAGATGTGGGTGGGGATGATAACTCATGAATTGGGGCTCAGTCCCCCATCCTGTCTATTGCCTTGGTTGGGGGCAGACGGGCAGGCATGATAGCTCGGTTCCTTGGGGGCTGGGCTGAACTGAGATTCAATTCACACACCTTCTCCATCATTATCCCCCACCTAGTTGGAAACAGGTGAATAGGTATGTTAATGCATTTTCTTAAAGTTGTTTTTCAGAAAACAACTTGAAATCAACTTTGGCCCAGCACATGCGTGAGGCAAATGGGTACAAAGTTGCTCGGAACTGACATTTTCCTCTGCCCAAGTACTGATCAGCTAATGAAAGGAAGTCGGTGTGACTCATCCACTGTGCAAGCACACTGCATTAAAAGTTGGCTGTCCCTTTAATCCTAGGCGAAGGAAGCCTCAGCCAGTCCCATTAATTCACGCCCAAATTCCTGAACTTTTTATGAACTGTCTAAGGCCCTCTCCTGAACTTTACAAAAACTGTACCCCAACCTCCACTGGGGAAGTCAGATTTGGGTACTAGC